AAATAGATCCCTGACCTTGACACAGGGTAACAAATGTTTTCGGAAGATTTAGAAACTTTTTAGAAATAGCCATACCAGACACACACATACAAATATACATATATAATAATAGTAAGAATATATAGTGAATAATTATGGAATACATTGGTGGAGTAGGCGGCTCTAAATTCCCTTAAAAAATAAACCAACTGGCTCGGCGCCTGTGGCTCAAGGGGCTAAGGCACCAGCCACATACACCTAAGGTGGCGGGTTCAAATCCAGCCCGGGCCCACCAAACAACAATGATGGCTGCAACCCAAAAATGGCCAGGCGTTGTGGCGGGCGCCTGTAGTCCCAGCTACTTGGGAGGCTGAGGCAGGAGACTCACTTGAGCCCAAGCGTTGGAGGTTGCTGTGAGCTGCGATGCCACAGCACTCTACCCAGTGTGACAGCTTGAGGTTCTGTCTCCCAAAAAAAAAAAAAAAATAAATAAACCAACTATCAAGCACATCAGTATATTCATTTTGGGAATGCCAGGGGGAGAACAGAGAGAGAAAATAACAGAAAAAAAACTGAAGATAAAAAGGTCAAATATTTTCCAAATTTGATAAAAGACACGTATCTACACATTCAACAAGTTCAATGAACTCCAGGCATGATAAACACACAGAGTCATGACACCTTATATTCAAATTTCAGAAAGACAAAGACATGGGAAGAATTTCAAGGCAGTAACAGAAAAGCACAACTTGGTCACAAGTTGGAATCCTCATCCATGATTCTTCTCAGAAACCACGGAGGCCAGAAGGCAGTGAATTGACATATTTAATGTAGTAAAAGAAAAGCACTATCAACCACAAAAACATTACATTCAACAAAAGTATCCTTTAAGAATGAAGGCGGTATTACGACATTTTCAGATAAACAAAAGCCAAGGAAGTTTGTTAACAGCAGACCTGCTTTATAAGAAATGCTCTGGAGAGGCAGTGCCTGTGGCTCAGTGGGTAGGGCACAGCCCTATATACTGAGGGTGGTGGGTTCAAACCTGGCCCTGGCCAAATTGCAACAAAAATGTAGCTGGTCATTGTGGCAGGCGCCTGTAGTACCAGCTATTCAGGAGGCTGAGGCAAGAGAATCGTCTAAGCCCAGGAGTTAGAGGTTGCTATGAGCTGTGACACCACAGCACCCTACTGAGGGTGACAAAGTGAGACTCTGTCTCTAAAAAAAAAAAAAAGAAAGAAAAAATGCTATGGGGAGGTGTCTATGGCTCAAAGGGGTAGGGCACCAGCCCCATATGCCAGAGGTGGTGGGTTCAAACCCAGCCCCAGCCAAAATCTGCAAAAAAAACAAAAATGCTCTGGAGTCCTTCAGGTTAAAATAAAAAGACTCTAGGTATTAAGCAGAAGTTATATGAAGAAATAAAGAAACCTGGTAAAAGTAACTACATAGGTAAATATAAATGCCAGTATTACTAAACTTTTTATTTGTAATTGCTAATCTTTTATTCCTATATGACTTAAAAGGCAAATAGATAAAACAATAAGAAAAAAAAACAATAAAAAGTAACAGGTCAGGCATGGTGGCTCATGGTTATAACTCCAGCACTTTATAGGAGGATAGCTTGAGGGCAAGAGTTTGAGATCAGCCTGGGCAACATAGTAAGACCCTGTCTCTACAAAAAGAATTTATTTGAGCAAAATAATAGGACTAGATAATGTGGCAAGTAATAGTAATTAATAGCAGGATAAATTACTAAATAATACACGTGAGATAATATAACAATCTTTATAATGTTTCTTTTCTCAAGCAATTTATTTTAACCTTTCTCAACTCTTTACTAATTAAATTTTATAGGTCATTCATATATTCTTTTTTTTTTTTTGAGTCAGAGCCTCAAGCTGTCGCCCTGGGCAGAGTGCTGTGGCATCACAGCTCACAGCAACCTGCAACTCCTGGGCTCAAGCGAGTCTCCTGCCTCCGCCTCCCAAGTAGCTGGGACTACAGGCGCCCACCACAATGCCCGGCTATTTTTTTTTTTTTTTTGGTTGCAGCTGTCATTGTTTGGCAGGCCCTCGCTGGATTCAAACCTGCCAGCTCACTTGTATGTGGCTGGTGCCTTAGCTGCTTGAGCCACAGGCGCCGAGCCATTCGTATATTCTTAAGATATACAAATATAATACTTTTTAAAAGAAGAGTATAATTTCAATTTAATTAAAAAAGAACAATGAGATGCTTCTTTTCTCCTATGAAAAAATAAAAATATTTTTACTTTTGTGTTTCCCTTCCACTAATACTACTCCCAATTGACTAGAGTCATTAGATGCGGTAAAACTTAACACAGGAAGTAGTAGTGGAAAATCTACTTTGACTTATAGTTCCAATGTATCAGGCCCACATTTTCGGTGTCCGTTCAATTTGCTGGTATCGAATTAAGTAAATGTCCTCTCGACAAAAGCATGTATTAGAATACTTAGGATTTTACTAAGAGCAATAGCAGAATTTTTTTTAGATATATAAGAAATAGTTTGTACTTCTATAAAAACATTCTACTACCTTTCATCTAAAGGGATGTACGTTTGGGTATTCCAGCTGCTTCTCAATCACGTTCTTTTCATTTATAAATTCATTATATAGGCCTATCTGTGTCTACATGCCCATCTTCTTTTTTCTATTGCCGCCCATGCTAGTATGTCCTAATTTGTTCATCATTTTAAAACACTCTGAAGGACAATGGGCATCATTCTAAGTAAATCTTCTCCTTTTCGTGGAAATGATTTTGAAGCACAGAAGTAATCTGAATTTGCGGTAACAAAATTGGATTCCCAGTAAGTTACAGCTTGGGTGAAGAAACAAAAAAAAGTTATGTGTGACGTGGTGACCCTTTTTGGTGACTTTTTTCCTTGAGTTCTAAAGCATTCTTATTACATAAAAAATGAGCCATTTGTTCCTTGTATGAGTTGTTTCTGGCCTCCTTATAGCATCTTCAAATGTCATCAAACATTTTTGGAGAAATGGCATATGAATTTTTGTTTTACTTTAGTCTTTCTTTCCATTTTCATCCTCAATGTATTGCAAAATACACTGCCATAATATTTTACTGCATTTTTTTCTATGTCCAGCAATAATGACAGCCGTCTTTTAAAAGGCACATATCCAAGAAAGCCATCCTTCCATTTCTTTTAAGTCAAAAATTGCAGTAAGTGGTTCCACACTGTTTTAAAAACTGGGAAGCAACCAAAAATGTTCATTATGAAAGCATCATCATCACAGGTAAGCAAACCACATTGCTTTTTAATAGTGTTGTTTATGAGGTGTGCAAGACTTTAAGCAGATAAGATCTCTTCAATTTCATTAAGAAGTTTAGACTTAATAAAATTTGTTAAAATGTACAGCTGTGGGCGGTGCCTATGGCTCAAAGGAGTAGGGTGCCCGCCGCATATACCAGAGGTGGCGGGTTCAAACCCAGCCCCGGCCAAAAACTGCAAAGAAAAAAAAAAAAGTACAGTTGTATGATCTGTCAAATATGTCAAATATTTATGTACATAAATCTAGAATTGTATTTGGACAAAATAACAACATTTTGGGTTTTTTGTTGCCTATTGTTTCATTAAAATCAAGAACATGATATGACAAATCAAAATACCTAAAAGTTTTGAGAACATTTTCGTGCTGACATTTGCCACATAAGAAAGCATAACTTGGCATAAGATGGCAGCCATGTATAAGTCAGAAAGAGAGCTCACGAGAAAAGAATCCTGACAGCACCTTGATCTTGGACTTCTATACTCCAAAACTGTAAAAAATTAATTTCTGTTGTTTTAGTCATACAGTCTGTGGAATCTGGTTATGGCAGCCTGAGCAGACTAGTAGCCTGAGCTCACACAGTGACCAACAGGATGCTTTACAAAGACAATACAAATAATTGACAAACACAAAGATCTTCCCCACAGGCTACTTCATAATAATGATCATCTTAAAGATCAATTTTTTTTTAAATGAATTTTTACAACCTAAAATATTTTAACACTATGATTAAGTCTGAGCTTTGGAAGTATGTGGAATAATTACACTATAGGACTAAATCAACGAAGAGTTACTTCAAAAGAAAAAAAATCATTTTGAATTCAAGGGGGAAGGCATTAATCAATGGAAAAGAAAAATGACCCTACATAGTTCATCAGAACTGACCTATGCTAATGAGTGGAATTCTGAGCTAGCTTTCAAATTGCTGAGGTCAGGACCAAGAAGCACACAAAAGCTGTTGCACATCTTTCAAAGTTGGAAATTTAAACGGCCACCCACACTTTTAATCATGATTAAGTTAAACTAGTGACTCAAAGACTATGTCAAAATGGGTTTACTAAATTTCCCATTGGAATATGGATATAGGTACCGATATATAAATTCATACATACATAAAAGATCTACCCCAGAGATATATAATACAACTATATACATACACAGATACAATTGTATCGCATATATTTACCCATATATATTATTGTGTATCTGTATATAATACAGAAGAATTTATAGTATCTTGTGGTAGAAATGTCCTTTTTAAGGAGAAATGCAGAAGCCGTAAAGTTTAATTACACTAAAAACCTTTGACAGTAATATGAAGAACTTTGGCGGGGTTGGCATGGTAAAAGATATTACAGAGTTAACATACAAATAAGAAACAAGGAACACTTTCAACTTACAAAATAAAAAAATAATATTCATAAATATGAAGAATTGCTACAAATAAAATATGAAAAATTATAAAATAGCAAAAGGATACAAGTAATTAAGAAAAATGTAAATGAATAAACATATCAAAAGATGTCTAAGCTTGCCGATAGCAAAAGGAACACCAATTACACTAAAATAATTTTTGCTTATTATGTGAGCACTGACTTTTAAAATTCCAACTGAAAATAAAACTACGTAGAGGCAACAAAATATACATTCGAACAATTATGCAGAATGGTCACAAGTTTAGATTTGAATCCTCTTAACTTTCAAAGTATTTAACCAACCTGAGCCACTTTAACTGAATTCAGAGTAGAGCCACCAGCATGATATTCGACTTTGAATTTTTTTACAAGTTCATCAAACCTATAAAGAAATCACAGTAGAAAAATGTAAGTTAGCATCTGTCAGCTGTCACAGTGAAAGTTTTTCTGATTCGATGAACAATAAAACACAATTAGTGGAATATTAAAAATTAATTGTGTTGAATAAATGACTTACAATACTGTATGACAAACATACTAAATTTCCATACTTAAAAACTTTTCCCATAAATGTATCATTATAAGAATTTAAAATACACAGACTGTCCATAATTAACTACTAGACTACACGAAAGGTAAAAATATAAATTAATAAATTGCCAAATGCAAGGCCTATATAGCAAATTGGCAAAATCAAAATCAGAAACCCATCTCAGAATTACTTGTTAACTACAAACACAGAGAAAGCAGTATGTGCTTCTCCTATTCCAGACAACTCAAAAGAGTTTTCTACATAACTAAAATTTCACTTATTAATGTTACCCTTAGAATAAGTTCAAGAGGTATAGAAATTATAGGCCCTGACATTTAAGGGATGGATAACATATATGTTCACTTCCTCTTCAATGTCTTATTTGAATGTAAAATGTTTTATACATTGTAACAACATTACAAAGTAAGGAAGAAAGGTGCCACAGGCAGGCCACAACTTTGAAAAATAGCAGATTCTAGTTTAACAAAAAGCAAATGTCAGTTCTACTACTACTAGACAAAACGCTGATGGGAGACACAACAGTGCGGGAAATTACTGTTAACACTATACTTGGAAAACCAGGGTACTGCCCAACCACCCTCCTTATATCCAAAGGAACAAAATTTAAGGGTGCCGGTCTGCCATAGTAAAGTCCTCCTTCTATGAGAAATTATACACATTCCTAGCTACCTGCCTCTTTATTGTCTGTCTTTTCCTTTTGTTTTTGTTTGTTTTTTGGAGTGGGGGAAACTAACAGCGTTATTAAGCTATAATTTACATACTATAAAATTCACCTATTTAAAATATATAAGCCAAAAAAACAAAAAAAGAAAAAAGAAATAAGCTAATTGATATTTGGTTACTGAATTCCTTCGCCTACCATATTTTCCAGGTTCATTCACGTTGTAGCATGTATCCGTACATCAAAAAGGCCACATAATATTCCATTATATACATATATTACACTTATCCATTCTTCTGTCAATGGACACTTGGGTGGCCTCTTTTGTCTATTATGAATAATCTTGCTATCAACATTCAGGTAAAAGTTTTTATGTGCACACAACATTTTTATTTCTCTTGGGTGCCTATGCAGAAGTAGAATTGTTGAGTCAAATAGTAACTCTCAAGTTTAGCTTTTCAAGGACCTTCCTCATTATTGCCAACTTCCTGCCTAGTTTTAACAAACAGACAACACAGGGAAACCTGTGTAGTTATATGAAAAGAAGCAGCAAGAGAATTAAGAGTTTCTATGCATGAACAACCGTTACTGAAAAAAACTAGTAATCACTAGTTGGATGGATGATCTGAACAGTAAAACTAGCATGGGTAAAAACTAAGAAGAAAATAGAAAAACTGAAATTAAAAAAATACCAAAAACTAGATAGAAAACATAAAAGATAAAAAATATAAAAGAAAATTGAAAAAACATATGGTCCAAGATCTATTTAATAGGATATGCAGAAAGGGAAAAGAGAGTTAATAAAGGGTGAAAGAAAAATGATAGGGAAAAAAACTTTTGAAGTATGTTTCAAAAAAAAATGAACCATAAAATTTTCAGATTTTTCTAACTCCAAGAAGCTTTACTAGGGATTAGAAATTGAGACCCTAATCCTTGAGACCCTAAATCCCTAAGGTGTGCTTGGACACAACTTATTAAATCGTCTCTTATTAAGAGAAAATCCTAAATGTTTATACACCTAAAGTAAAAAATAATAGACTTACCTAACAAGAAATAAGAATCACACTAATATCAGACTTCTTAAAGATTAAAGGATGCTAAACAATAATGGAGTAATGTGTTCCATGTTGGCAGTATGAAAAGATTTTGAAGCTAGAAATTCATATCCACTCAAATATTAACTCAATAATAAGGAAAAATAGTATTTCCCAATCCTGTATCCTATGGGAAGAAACAATTACTGAGTAAATATGCCTCCCCAAAAAAAATCCAGAAGAAAAATAGCATGGGGTTAAAAAAAAAAAAAAGCAAAAATTGAGTGTACAATTTTGTAAAAGGAATCCAGAAAGAAATTTTAAAACGTCCATTATATATTATTAAATGTAAAATTCACCCTCTGATGGAGGAACGTCTATAAGTATCTCTAATGCTAATAATTCATTGCATAAACAGAGGCTTTAAATATATTATTTAAGTCATAAAGTCAACTGTTAGAAGAGTTAAAATATATCCATAAATTAGATGAGGAAGAGGAAAAAGGCAAAATAATATAAGTACATTATACTCCTTGTCTTCTAGAGTAGAGTCAATTGTATAAATTTGTTAAATCACGGAAGAGGGCACAACTAAAAACATTAACTTAACAGTATTTGCAACTAACTCTATGGAGCAGGTATAGAGGGATATTATTTTTATTGGTATTGTTTAGTTTTGTTTTTTATAAATTTCTTGAGGATAGGTAAAATAAATGTGCAATTATTGTTTGTTTATTTATTTATTTATTGTTTGAGACAGAGCCTCATGCTCTTGACCTGGGTAGAGTGCAGTGTCATCATAGCTCACAGCAACCTCCAACTCCTGGGCTCCTCCCTCCACCTCCCAAGCTGGGACTACAGGCACCCGCCACAATGCTCAGCTATTTTTTTGGTTGCAGCCATCATTTCTGTTTGGCAGGTCCAGGCTAGATTCGAACCTGCCAATTCAGCTCTATGTAGCTGTCACCTTAGGCACTGAGCCACAGGCACCAAGCCTAAATGTACAATTATTAAAGGGAACACGTGGGTAGCTACCACTCAGGTTAAGAAAAAGAATACTAAAGTGATTTATAAAACTTGCTGTCTTCTAACACATATATAACTGACTAATTCTGGACTGTATATTCTGACCCATTGATATGGACATCTTTTCCTACAAACACTCCATTGTACTTAAATTATTACGATTGTATTGTAAATCTTATTGAAAGGACAACCGCCTTTACCTTGTTTTTTGTGAGTGCTTGGACTATTCTTGGTTCCTTGCACATTTCCTAGTCATCAAACTCTAAAAACAACTTGTCTGGGGATGGGAGCGGAGGGGGGAAGTCAGATCGAGGGAGGGTGAATGGTGGGATCACACCTATGATGCATAATGTAAGGGTACATGTCAGGTAAATGTCTTAACACAGTAATTGAGTAACAAGATGAGGTATATATTAACCAGTGTGATGTAAGCATTCCTAATTCTATATGAAATCAGCACATAAATGCATCAATGTATACATGATCTATGTGTTTATGATTTAATAAAAAAAAAAGAAAAAAAACTTGTCAGGATTTTTACGGGGATTGCATTTTTATAATTCTATAATGGGAAAAGTGATATATTTCCAATATTAAATTAGCATGATCACAATATTTATTTAGATTTTCCTTCAATATCACTTTTAAAAAGTTTCACAATGGGTCAGTGCCCATTGCTCAGTGGTTAGGGCGCCAGCCACAGGCACAGGAGCTGGTGGTTTCAACCCTGGCCAGGGCCTGCTAAACAACAATAACAACAATAACAAAGAAAAGAAACAACCAGGTGTTGTGGCAGGCTTCTGTAGTCCCAGCTACTAGGAGGCTAAGGCAAGAGAATCACTTAAGCCCAAGAGTTTGAGGTTGCTGTGAGCTGTGATGCCACAGCACTCTAACAAGGGTGACATAGTGAGACTCTGTCTCAAAAAAAAAAAAAAAGTTTCATAATGTTTGCCATAAAACCTGAAGATCTTTTATTAGGATCACTATTTTATACTTCATATATTTTTATTATTGTGGTATTTCTTAAACTTAATTTTTATTTGTTGACAGTATTTAGAAACATAATTCTTGGTATCAATTTTTCCAGCCAAGTATCTATTATCTAATTCCAAAGAATTATCTGTGTTCTTGCCATACATACATAATCATCTTTTGTAAATAATGATAATTTTTTTCCTCCCCTTTTCTTGCCTTAGTACAGAAAACAGTACTACTAGCCCAAATGCTTAAAAAATAAAAGCATAGGTTTGTAATGAACAAATTTAGTCTTGTTCTGAATTTTGGTCTGATAAATCCTGATGAATGACAAGGTAGGTGCAAAAGTTTTAGAAGAAATATTTAATTTTTCACCTTGATTTACTGTGTCTGCTACTTTTACTAAAGAGTTAAACTTTTTAAAATGTTAATTTATATCTGTTGATATGGACAATATTGAGTATCCTTTCATTTTAGAAATGTTAAGTTACAAAAACACAGGCACAATATAATCCCCTTTTTAGTACAAACAAAATTACCCAATATACATGTATACTGTAAAGAACCTGGAAGAGCATAACCAAGGTATTAACAGCAGTCATCTCCACATCAGGAGACAGAGTTTTACTCTACTGCCCTTGGTAGAGGGCCAGGGCATCATCATAGCTCACAGTGACCTCAGACTCTTGGGCCCAAGCAATCCTCTTGCCTCAGCCTCCCAAGTAGCTAAGACTACACCTGCCAAGATGCCTAACTAACTTTTTTCTACTTTTAGTAGAGACAGGGTCTTGGTCTTGCTCAGACTGGTGACAAACTCCTAAAATTCAAGTGATCCATCTACCTTGACCTCCCAGAATGCTAAGATTTACAGGTGTGACCTGCCGTGTTAGCCTATTGGTTTTGATTAATTCTGTAATAAACATATAGTTTTAATTGGGGGGGCCTAGCAGCCCTGCACAAAGGATCATTCCCCAAGACAAAGGAGACAAAGGATCTAGTTAGCCCCACATACCCCCAAGTTTGCACCAAAGGGACCCTAACTCACCAAAGCCTTGTGGGCAAACCATAAATTCTGCCCACCCTCTATGACTCCATATAACAGGGGTCTCTAACTGCCCTGGGGGCACAGATTT